CTGCTGGGGCCAGAGCCGCTGCACCACCGCCGCCTACGCCAACGCCGATGAAAAAAAGCGGCTGAGGACCCCCCTGCCATATCCCCGCCGCCGCCGCCTCTATTTCCACCATCGCCACCTCCGCCGCCTCGTTGTCGCCAAAGTCCTCCTCCTCCTCCGCTGCCGCCGCCGCCGCCGCCGCCGCCGCTGGTGCTGCTGGTGCTGCTGGTGCTGCTCGGTGGTCGTGCAGCCGCCACCGTGTGCGCACACTGGGGGGCAAGTCGGCCCATCGCACCCTTTCCTCTGCGTCGCCCTCGTCAGCCAGCTGGTACAGCAGCTCGCCTGCATCCATGTTAGTCAATGTGGTTCCGGAGCTCATGACAGTGAGGCGAAGCGGCGAAATGTGTGTGTTAAAGTGTGTTAGTGTGTGTTAGTGTGTGTGTTTTACACCTCGGTTGCATTACCCAGAGAGGTGTAACGAGTGCCCAAATGCCGACTGAGAGAGCCAAATGCCATGAGGGGCGGGGGGGGGGGCGGGAGATGTCATGAGCTCAACTTGTACATGAGCGTACCAGGGCGGTCGGTGTGATGATGAGTGGGTAAGGTTGAAGAAGGAAGAGACTGCGAGAGATGGGACACATGCACGAACACGGCCTGCCGTGGCAAAAGTACGACATGACACAAAGACAAGACCATTTGGACCGCATACATACATACACGCACGCACGCTCCACATGTGCACGCATTTACCTGGCCCACGGTATTCAGACCGCCTTTGCCAGTCCTCCAGAAAACTCACGCCCGAATGCTGATGGGACATCGAGCACCCTCCGCCGCCAACGCCCCCCTCGTCGCCGCTGCCAGCATTACCGCCCCACAGCAGTGCGGGTGCGTAGTCGGGGCCGTGCGGAGCACCGTAGGGGTCACCATAGGCGTCTCCGCCGTCGCGGCGACAGTTACACGCGTACACGGCCACCAGAGCGACCCGTGGGTTAGTCAGGTGACGCAGGAGGCGCGCCAAGGCGGGACCAGTCCATTCCATAACGCCCTGGACGTGGAAGGTCGGGGGGCACGAGGGACCCCAGGGGGGGGGAAGACGAACCACCACGTTAGTGAGAGTGAAGCTGATGCCAAGTGGGGAAAACTGATGTGGCCGATGTGAAGAAAGCATAGCTAACCAGGACCAGGACCAGGACCCGGGGGAGCAAAACGGGGGGACAGTAGCATGGATAGGTGGAGCTCACTGCTCTACATGCGTATACATATCATATACAGACATGCATACAGGCACACTCGACTTGACTACAATGGGATCGCGGGGTTCCGGAGGGGAAGGTGCTCTTGCCTTGCAGTGGCCGGGCACCTCGTCGACGAGGCAGCTCGCAGTGGGCAGTTCAGCTGCGTGCACTCGCTGCCACAGCGGACGGGGAGAGGGACCCACTTCCAGAGGTGCGGGGGCGGAGGGCCAGGCACCGCCGCCACCGCCGCCGCCGCCGCCGCCACCGCCGCCGCCGCCAACTTCGCCACCCCCCGGCGGTCCACTAGCAGGTCTAGGTCCACGGACGTCCGCCCTAGGCGTCACGACGGCGAGGGTCGTGTACCGGGGCCCTCGCAGGTCGTTCTCACCGCGGGCATCGAAATAGAGCCTGAACAGGCAATAAAGGCATTAGCAACGATTAAAACAAGAACAAGAAGCTGAACAGCATAGCGGGCGGTTGGGCAGGGCCGACCACTGGCAATATTCCGGCTACTGGCGCCGTATGTCCGTACGATATACGGTATGCCCAAACTCAGATACCCCATGCACGTGTACGTGATACACCGTACCGTACAGCGATAGGCGATGAGTCTAGCAGCAGTTTATTTACGCATTATTGAAGCAGCTTTCCTAAGAGCAGCCCACGTGAATTCGGGCAGCTGGGTGCGATCGCGCGCCGAGAAGGCTGTCGGTTACTGCGACACTGCTAGAGCTTATAAAGCTGTTAGCGGATACGCGCGGGTACTTAGCACCGGCCGGACCCGTGTCGATCAGTATTCTGTACATTATTCGTATTTCTTACTTTAACCCATTTACCGCAAAACCCCGATACCCCAACGAACGCCAAAACAAACCCCGCAAAAAAAAACCGCACGCAGCACCTCAGGTAGGCCGGTCCGGACTCTGTAGCAGTGGGCTGTAGCTCCAAGTACAGAAAGCGGCAGGCGTAGAATCTGGCAGTCTGGGGGAAGTTGTAGCGCCACAGGCAGGCCGCCGGAGCCAGCGGCAGGGCGGCCACGGCGTTGCGGGTGTTGCGATGGAGCACCAGGCGCTGTGGTCTCCGATATCGAGGAGTTGGGGAGGGGAAAGGGGAACGTGGTTGGGCGGATGTTTGGTTGGGCGGTTAGTCGAGTGGCAGTTGGTAGTTGCTTGCACCGGTAGAAGTTTCTGCTGTTTGGTAATGGTACTAAGGTTTACTACTACGCAGCGAGCCCCGGATAGGCCCCAAGGGAGTATAACCCCAGCAGGGTGGTAGGGAGGGCGGTCGGGGGCTACCCCGGACAGCCGCACACAGCAATGCTGAGAGAATCCAGCGACGAGAATACACATACATACATACACACACACACCTTGAGAGCAGCAATGCAACTCTCTCACACTCAGTGAAGCCTATGAAACTCGGCAAGGGATGTGCCCCACTACAGCCCACTACTACTACTACAAGTGGGAAGGAGCCTGTAGGACCCTCCTGGAGAAAAGCAGCAAAACGCACCAGTTGCTGTTTGTGGCGTAGCAAGCATACTAGGGTTTACTAGGGGTGGATTGGAAAGGCACACTGCCCGCTCAGGCCTCAGCAACGGCGGTAACGTGTGATCAAACTGCCGCCTCACGCTGAAGACTTGCCAGTCGCTAAGAGTATTCTTAAATATCCCGACAGGAAGGAAAATATCTTTTAAGTGATAACACGTCTGGTGATAAGGAGAACACGCAGGGAGATGTGGGAGGCTCGTCGAGGACGTGGGAAAGCCTCCACGCAGTGCCCTCCAGGAAATACCATAATGTATACATGGACCGTGTTAATTATAATAATAATTATTATTTATACGGGACGCCATGTGACGGCATGTACGGCATGTACGGCATGTGCAATGCGTACCCGAAAAGAACCGCCGTAGGTGCTGCTGTGCAAGGTTCGCATGGGCCACATCCGCGCGGCTATTTTACGCCACAGGAGGTTGTCACTTCCTGCGGAACAGCGTCAGGTGTGGCGTGTGGAGAGAGATGAGCCGGGAAGAGTTAGATTTGGAATGGGCTGGGCGCAGACTTACTTACCGATAGCACGCCAATCCCGGCACACCTGCAGCCATGCAATAAATAGCGTAAGTTAAAGGAGAAGAATATTGTTTGAATTGGTGTGCTCATGACACCAACACCAATAAAGCAAGGAAGCGCTTCCGAGAACCAGGCTGAGCGAAACCCTTCGTCATCACCTGGCAGGCCATGCGCACATCATCGACTTCGAGATAACCAAAAATCGCATGCCAAAGAGCTGGCAGGAGTTCCTTGGCTTGCTGCGCTTCCAACGAATCACTTTGGCCGTAAGCGTGATGCGAGGCCATTTTGAAGGCTTCTATGGCAGCCAACTGATGGGAAAAGTTTAATTTCATTGCGTTAAACTCTGATGTGTACCCGCACAGAAAAACGTACGGTGCATAGTTGCCAGCCGCGAGGACATTCTCCGGTGACTCGATCGCTTTCGGCCCAAACAACTGCACATCCCAGGTGCCTTGGAAGGTCCGTCAGGGTTTCGGCGTGATGTGAGTGTGTCTCTCAGCCTCTTTTTAAGTTGTTGAGTTTTGCTAGTTTCCACCTTTGTTCAAGAACCTCGCCAGCCGTTGCTCTGACCGACACGGCCCCATAGGCAAGTTTCGTAACCTGCCTTACCCTGCCCAACACAAACCCCAATCAGCTTGCCAGCGTTCTGCACCATCAGCGCTTGATTGCGTTTTGTATGCGTGTGCGTGTAGGCAACGCGCCCAGAAGCTTTCCAAATCCCGCAACTCACGCCGCACAGTGTAAACGAGCCCCGCACTACGCGCCTTTTTTCCCTCTGCGTCACATTCCACTCAGATCAACCCGCGAAACTTGGAGCTCGTGCACACAAACGTGTGGTTGGGAGTTGGTATTCACCGCCTGGCTGAGTTTAAATGATGGAGCGTTGTTTTAGGAAGGTATGAGGAGACGAGGGTGAGGCATGTACCGTTTCGCAACGGTGGTGATTGGTGATTGGTGATATAGTGCGAGGCCCTATCAACTCAAAAAGGGAGAGATAACAGTTGCCTTACAAGGTACCTGCCAGGACCTTTTAGCCTGAGCTCTAGCGACGCCAGCACTACTTTTGGGATCGTTAGTACTAGTTTGGGATCTGTACTATATATTGGGATCGTTGCAGGCTTGCGACCTTCCTGTCAGCAACACAGTTGACAATATGGAACAGGGTTGAAGAGTGTTGCCTGAATTGATATCGATTGGGTAATACCATGAGGGTCCCGCCTGTCCGGCCTAGAGGGGGCGTTTGCGGGTTAGAGCCCCACGAAGACGTTTGAGGTGCGTGTTCGCGCGTGTTGTAATGTAAAGGAGGGGATGCGGGGGACTGCTGGGCCGCATGTATGGGTTTGTGAAGGGTCGCAGGGGAACACAAACGCAGGCTGTGGGTTGTTATGAAGTGTGGTGCTGACAGTTGGGCGCGCCTGAGGCAGACATGAGACAGTGGTACTGCGGTGAATACCGAGCACGGGTGGCAGGAGATTTCGATGCCCCTGGCTCAGCCATCCTACCATTTCGTCTGCGACTGGCGTGCTGCAATGGAGAGGATGAGGATAGGACACCACCTTGTTGCCACCCCGACGACCCTGTGCAGCGGCCTCGGTAGGATGTGGTCATCCAGGGGGCCATCTCCGCACTTTAACGGCTCTCCTCCAATCTTTGCACGCGGTCGGCGATTCCTTGCAAACCCTTGCGCTGCAAGGATGGGAATATTGTGCGCATGCTTTTAACTACATGGGCGGGTCCCAAGCCCCAAGGCTGGAACCCGATAAAGCTCATGTACACATTTGCAGTGTTCCTCTTTTATGAAACGAGGAATCAAAGGCCATTCATTTAACGCATGCCATTCAACCAGAGCCGCGCAGGAAAAAGCCATACACAAAGGTACAAAGGACATACGGCCAGGAACGCAGCCACAAGGTAGCGACCATGTGAAGATCAACTATCCCTGTAAACGGATGTAAACAACGTCATGAGGTAACAGCAGTCATTGTGGTGGTGTACTGCTACTACTGACGGTTTCTGGTAAGCCTGTCCTGCAGCTTTGATTGCAGCCCAGTATGGCACACCCGGCGCAGTAGTCTCAAACGTGATCACTATCACAATTGCAGCAGGATGCACGTCGAACTCCGCGCCCAAGCGCCCAAGCACGTTCCCGTCATCGTGCATGCGCGTCCTAGTGCACTGAAAGTGAAGTGCATCATACCCACCCCGGTAACTCCGCCTCATCTGATCGTTGGTCATGAAACTCCCGAACCTGATTGCTCAGTTAAACGCTCGCCGCGGTATATGCCGCCATGCGCCCCCAACCCCCGACGGGTTCAGTTCACAAGGGCAGGTTGTCTCCGTCCCATCCACAGACTTCTGAGCAGCAGCAAAAGCATGCAGCACCAGAGCGGACCCAAATACGCCATGTCGATATCAAGCCTCAATGACACCCTACATTAAGCAATTGCCGAGCGTCGAGAAGGAACACCGACGCTCCATCCACATCCCATCCGCATGTCCTGTACTGCGCATGGGAACACATGGGCTTGCAGACTCCAAGGCAACTGCAGCTTCCGCTTCTCTCGAATTCCTAAATATGACCAAAAGACTAGGGCCACGCTACCGCGGCTATTCTTTTCACCCCAATCCCTCCATCAGGGAATTCCACAGCTGAATCAACAGGATCAGCAGCAGCGACCGACAGCAGCACCGTCTTGACAGTTTCCTCGAGAGTTGTCCATGCAACTCCCGGCGATCTGCCGCTCCTCTTTGCCATCTGCAGGCTACCTTCCTGGCCATGCAGCCCATGGAGTGTGAGATTTTGTTGGTCAACAAAACCTCACACTCCATAGGCTGCATGCCGCCATGCTATCATGCTAAGCATGGTGTCGGGCCTCGTAGGTGGGGCTATATAGCGGTTTACGGCGTGCTCGCCGGAAGGCTCCTAAATTCCTCTTGCATAAGCGTCCTGGAAACCGCCCGAGCAACCAACGAAACGTCTCATCGCTCCAGCTGATCTCGGCTTACGGTGAAGAGAACATCGCGTTCAGCTCCATGGCGCTCAGGAAGCGAACCTCCTGAGAGCAGGGGGGTATACAACATGCGGTGTGAATGCAGGATGGTGGGGTGGTGGTGGTGGCGAGTGCACGTCGCTATGGGAAGAGCGGTTACAGACATACCATCCATCCATCCAATAGCTGTAGACGATAAGAGGGTCGAATTCTTAGCCCTGCCGGACTTTTAACCAATAGCCCCACAGGCATCAGGAGGCACTGACCTGCAGCTGCTCCCTCTCGCTCTGCAGCCGCCGCGGAAGGCCAACCACTTGCAGCTGTTCTAGCTCCCCAGGTGTCAATGCGCCGGACGAGGCACCGGCGCCACCAGCAATCACCATGCTGTTGTGCGGCTGCTGATCCCTCTCCAAAGAGGCCGACGCGTGGTAAGACGCATCAGTGTGGTGGAGGACGTCCAGCAGACCGCGGCGGTGGCTGGTGGCCGCGCCGCTCAGCGGCTTGGCCGGCACGTAGCCTTCCACCTCCATACGCGTGTCGCCGTGCTTGGGTGTCCACTGCGCACCAAACTCCCGACGGAACCGGTCTTGATGAGGCCGGTCGGCAAAGAAGTCGTACCTATGCGGTGGCGGCACGGAACGGGTTGAGTTGGTGACCATCGGTCAGATGGCGGAGAAGGAATGGCAGGTGAAAAGGCCATGTGCTGGAATGTGTGCAAATAGGAAAGAGGGGACATGCACTGTCCGAGGCATGAGCAGCTTGAAACCCGCGTGCAGCCACGGACAGGTTCTTTCTCATGTAAGCTGTGGGACAGGCGGTGTACTGAATGACCGGATGCGAGCCGGCATTACGGCAACGGCGGGACATGGATGATAATTCGTAAACGCGATTAAGGGACCGTGCATGCGAATAGTGTAGGCCTTAAGGGAACAACCGAACCTTCTACAGAACCCGCATGATTAACTTGAATCTCCACACAACTCTCCCTGGGGAGCCGCTGTCCCTCCCTCACCAGATCCAGCCGGGGTTGTTGGCCAGGCAGCAGAACACGGAAGCGTAGTGGTTCATGCGGTTCACGAACTGGTCCTGCTTCTGTGAGTCACAAAAAGGCAGGAGGACCACGGGGCGGGGGCCATGGCGGGCGAGGGCGTTGGCCAGGCAGCAAGAGATAGAACGCGTCAGATCGATTTCTGTCGCCGGCGATAGTGGTCAAGGCAGATCACAACGGTGGCAGACTGGGATAGAAGGAGGAGGAGGATTAGCTGGGGGCAGCCAAAGACGACCACGAACTGGCCTTTTAGCCGTGGAGGAGCCTTGGGCGAAAGATGATAAGGTAAGAAGATACCTAGTAAATGCTAAATTATCACCAAGGCTGGTATGGGAGCACGGTAAAGGTGAGATTATCTTAATACTAACGGCCACTGGCGTGTACCGGACGCACCGACTTGCAGCCTCAAGTGCAACACGAGATCTACACTACACAAGTCGCCGGCTCATCACCCCGCGAGGAATCGCCGATCCAAACGCCATTTCGCCTGAACCGGCAGGAATATTGCGTGTAGAGGTTCTCCGGCCCGTTCCCTCCAACACAACACGCAGAGAGCCAAGTGAAAGACGGACCGACCTCCTTGCTGCTGAACTCCTTAAACGCCTCCGCCGCGTTGCTCAGGGTGATGATCTTGAAGCCCCGCACCGCTTCCAGCGCCTTGTTGATCTGATCGCTGTTCAGCTGAGGAGCCAGTCGCACCACACCGTCCTACGGGAGTAAAGTCGGACAAAGACGCATGAGCACAGCCATATGGCGGCGAGCCCGCTCCGAATCCATTGTAAACAATACCATAAAAGCAATGGTACCCGAACGGTGTGCCCTCGCTGTGTACATAGTGTAGGATAGCGATCTGCTCGCCACGTGCGCGTCTAGTTGAGACCACCACTACACTTCAGTCCATTGCTGCTACTCGCATTGTAACAGCAGCGGAAAGCAACCATGGGTCTTCACTCACCTTGACCGGCGCCGGCGCATCGCCGTTGGAGCAGTCGGCCTCGCCTGGCTTGCAAATCACCACCGTGACGCGACTCTCATTGACCGCCTTGTTCATCCTGCACGCACATTTGCAGCGTGTACAAACCTAGTTTCAGCAGGACGAACACTTGCACATGCACATCGAGTGACATTTCCATTCAGGCATATATGCCGTGCATATTATGCATGCGTCTCGCGGCGCAGTTCGCGGCCCAGTTCGCGGCCCAGTTCGCGGCCCTTTCCTAAACCATATACCGGCAACGGCACCGCCACCAGCACTGTCTTACGTCCCACTCCCACTCCTCCTCCTCCTCCTCACTCCCTCTTCAGTACGGTGTCCTGCAAGCCACCCGCTCCTTACCGCGGGTTGTTGAAAAATGAGTACTCGCGATACTCCAGGTGCGGGCCAAATTCGGGTCGCTGGGGGTACCACCCGCCCTCCAGATCAAGGACGTGATCAGCTGGGCAGATGAAGGGCTTCTTCCAGTGGGTGCCGGGGATGTTGCCTGAGAAGGCAACGAAGAAATCGACGGCAGGCATCCGCAGGTCAACGCGTGGAAAGGATGAGGATTAGGCGATGGGGGAAGCGGAGGTGGGCCTAACAGCGAAGCAGCAGCAAAATGTCTGTGCGGGAGGAAAGGTCGTGTTGCCTTCCTAACCCTAGCACCGCAACCCCGTTCCCCGTCCCCACCATCATACAACGGCGCCCAGTACTTGTCCAGTTGGCACCAGATGGGCGGCAGTACCACCACACGCCCCGTGATGACCGCCACCGCCACCGCCGCCCGCAGCCGGAAGAGCTGGTGGTGCACCAGAGCAAAGTGGTCACCCAGCTTGTCGCCCGTCATGGCGCCCAGTACTGGCTGAGCGGCACGGTCCAGCAGCTCTTTAGGGATGTCCATGCTGCGATGGCAGGAGGAAACAGATGGGGAAAGAAAGGAGAATGAGGAAAAAGGCACTAGCCCCATTGTTCCCATTTCCGTCCCAACAACCCCCTCCTTCCCACAGAACATAGCAAGCACAGAACCCCGGGCAATCAAACTCCAGCCATCTCAGACAAGACACAGCATTACCTTCTCGCGGCTAAATCCTTGAAGCACAACGGCAGGTCAGGCGGCGAGATAACAACAACACCAGGCCAAGCACGGCTAGGTCCCAGCCGCACTAGGCCAGCATAGGTACACCACAAGCAAATACCGCAACAACTCACTCAATCGCCACAAAGCCCCGCGGATGGTCATAGTACTCGGGCGGGTCAGCAAACAGCATTTCCTCGCGGAAGCGATGTCGCTTGCCGGGTGTGCCGCTGTACTGGAAAGTGGCGTGCGCTACGTAAGGCTCAAGTCCCAACTCCTGGTACTTGTGCTGAACAAAGAAGGTGTGGCCGCTGGCAAACAGGGCACATGGTAGCACGCCCACGCGCAACTTGCCATTGTAGCCCATCCACAAATTCTTGGGCGGCTCCGAGTGACGATGGCCCTGCAGGAAGGGTGCGGGGAGGAAACCATGGAAACATGGAAAGGAGCCCTTATACAGAGAAAAGGTGCACGCAAAGCACAAGCACGCTCCAGATGGCAAGGGATACGGCACTTCACATAGCCCAGTTATCCTTCCTTGAGCATCTCCTTCCTCTCCTTCACCTTCCCACGGGTCCCAAACTCCGCAAAAAATGCCCAGCCACTACACACACACACACACACGTCCTGAGCAGCTCACGGTTAGGGCGGCACCTACCTTGCGCGCCAGGTCGTTGAAAGCGGTCTGGTCCCACATCTTTGGGTCGTCCAGCGCCTTCACCCACTCGTCTGTGTAGAGCAAAGCGAAAGGAAGAGGAAGTCAACTTGGCTTCTCTCTCGTCTGTATCCACTTTCTAGTAATTTCCTGGTCGATTCCATCCCAATGCACTCTTCCATTAGGTTCTGCACGTCCTTTCCTTCCTTTCCCCAACCCGGTCCCTGCGCTTCCATTCTCAACTCCTCACCCACGAACTCCTTGCTGTTGGGTCTGAACAGCATGATGCCGATGTTGAACGCGCTGCCCGCATCCGGGAATCGCTCCAGGGAATCGTCCTTGACCGTAGGTGACAGCTGGTCGGTGGAGGTGAGGATGTCGGCCTCGGGGTAGCGGTGGAAGTAGGGGATGGGGTTCTTCAGCCAGGCTGTATCAATGTCCGAGACCACGACCGTCACGTCCAGAGCCAGGACGTCCCGAATGAGCTTGATCTTAAACCTGGGTGGCGCGCGAAAGGAGGACATCGAAAGAAGGAACATAGGCGGGATGGGAATGGGGTTTCTGAGGGGACAGAAACAGGAAAAGAGGTGATGGGCGAGTTGAAAATGCTGGCGCGTATATGCTGGAACGTGTAGGAGCAAAATTCGGTGGCACGCCAACGAGCGGCGGGAGATTCTTGAGCGTCCCGAATGGACCTAAGCAACAGAGCAGAGCGAGCTGGCGGGCGAGAGGGAGGCATCAGATGTCTCAAAAAAACCCGCCAGCGTCACTGCCAGCTGGCCCATCGAAACCCTGGCCCCACCTGCCCATGAGGTGGAAGTTCTGGCTGCCCCAGCCCAGATCCCGCTTGGTGATGCCTGTGTTCATTCGCCAGGTGTTAATATTGAGCTCGACAAGGTCCTTCAGCATGTCGTCATCCATGGCGCCCACCATGTAGCCACTAACACCCGACTGAAGGGAGGGGAGGGGTGGGGTGCAGGGGGGTAAGGGGTAAGGGAAAACGAAGCCGACCCAGAAGTTTTGCGTGGGTGGTGGGACAGAAGGCATTTGGGAGAAATATACGAGTGGTGTCGTCCTCCTCGCCTCCACCTAGTCTCTACCTGGCCTAAGATCCTCCCAAAGCCGTGCATACGGGGCGGCCAAGTGCTGCTGTCACGCCCCCATGCAACGTCATGCAGCGCAGCCGCTCCAATATCGGCTTCCTTCCCGCTCAACCCAGAGATGGCCCCGACCCAAATTCCAGAACCCAGAACCCGCAGACATATGTCGTATTCCATTTCCCATTCCTCCCGCATGTTCCTTCCTCTTTCCTCTAGATATCTGTGATCGTCCCTTAGGGCAATGCATTGGCAAAAATCCTGCCCTCCTTAAACCTGTGGCAGGCCATGCTGTCGCCAATCCAGCTGTAAGGCCTGCCAGCCGGTCTACACCCACGAAGTCTCTCTCCGCCCTGTCTACGTGTCTTCCCCGCACCTTTTTCAGGTTATATACCCAAGTCTTGGCAAAGTCCAGGTAGTGGTGGTTGGCCCAGGTAATCATGATCAACCCGTCCTGGAGCAGCGGCAAGACGCGCTCCCTGCGGAAAGCGTTGCGGAAATGCGAGTGGATAGCCATGTTTTGTGCATAACATGAAGGGGGGCTCTCAATTGCTGCATGTACGGGAGATACAGGGGATATTTCCACGAAAAGCGGCTACGTATGTTACAAATTACAAGTTCCGCATAACTGCGGGGACTTCCATAAAAGCCGGAGAGTCCATGGACGGCAAATAATAACTTTTTTGTGGTGCCGGGTGAGGACGTTGTCGTCCTTCCTGTAGTTGGGTCAAACTGTCGATAGACGGAGGTTCTGTGACCCTGGGCGCGTGGACCTGTAAATAAATGCTCCATTTACGTGCCATCGTTAAGAGAAGTTACGCCTTGCCTTCAAGTGAGAAGCAGGCCCAAACCCGGGAGCCGAAATAGCTGGGCCATTCCCTCATACCGTTTGGCCTCTGGCGCGAACGTCCCTTACCTGGTTAGGGGGTAGCCATCTGGGTTGAACGATTCCGGGGGAGGTGGCAACGGTGGCGGTGGCGAAGGAGGAGGCGGTGAGGGACTGACCTTCGGCTCCACCTTCGGCTCCACTTTCGGCTCTACCTTTGGCTCCACCTTCGGCTCCACCTTCGGCTCCACTTTGGTTTGCAACGTCCCTCCAGCGCCTCCGCTACCTGTTGCTGCTGCCCCCGAAGTTCCCACACTGTTCGTAGGCTGTACTGATGAAGTCTTGGCCTCTGCACGGCGTTAAGCGACGAAACCGCCGGGCCAAGGTAAATGCATCAGCACTACTCGGTGGTCAATACAAAGCCCGTCCTCCGGCCGTCGTTGTGTTCTTGTACCTGGCAAGGGGGACTGCTGACTTGGATGCACCGCGTCCTGGTACGGGTGGATGACCGTTGCATAAACTTTCCAGTAAATTGGACCTCCAAGAGAGTAGAACCCATATATTAGTCCGCCAGCAACGATCACTAGAGCGATACGAGCCATAAGCCTGTCTGTTCTGCTTGAGACCGGCACAGGAGCCGCTCGCTCAACCCTTGAAAGTCCGGTCTGCAACATCGTGGTCGGTCTGTCCGCAAGCAGCGCTGTTACCAGGGTTAAAACCTAACGAACCAAATTATAACAAAGATTCTAATCACTGATTAAACATGTTATCCTTGATCATTAGGGACACAAGCTAACAGGCAGAGATCATAGTGCGTCAAAGCCTTGCTGGTAATGGCCTAGCAAGGCCCTTCGGCGACATACCAAAACATCACAGGAAACAGATTTAGAGCACGGGTTGAGTTTTGTGTACGAATCCAGGCACCAACTCACTTGCTGTACCCCTGTACGAGCACGTCCACCATGTTATACTTGCGCAGCTGCACGCCTTTCACGCAGGCAATGCATTGCGTAGATTGCGGCACTGCCACAACACATAATCTACGATGACAATTCCAGTAACTGTGAGCGTTGCCCTCGACTGGACGCCGAACACCAACCATGCCGGCTTTTACATCGCCAAGCACAAGGGTTGGTACGCCGAAGCGGGGCTCGACATCAAGGTCGTAAGCCCCCATATTGACGACTACAAGGCAACTCCTGCTTCGCGTGTGGCAGACGGGTCGTGTATGTTTTGCGTAACGCCATCCGAAAGCGTAATCTCAGCGCACACATGGGGCGATGCGCCGGGCGCAAAGCCCAAATTAGTTGCAGTGGCAGCGCTGCTTCAGGTATGCCCCATCGACACGACCATCCGGCGGCTTCGAGGCGCTCCTCCGCCTACAGTTGCCCCCCCTCTTCCCCTCTTCCGCATGCCCTGATCCGCCATACTGCCTGGATTTGTGGACATCTGCATTTGACACCATTTCCGCGCGCACGTGCAGTTCATTTCCTGCCGCTTTTGCCAAATATTATGGCGCTTGTACTTTGCCCTCTCTCTCAATCGGCGCGCCTCCTCACAGGCCCCTCTGCGTTTTCACGCCGTTTTTAATTTCTTGCCCCTCTCTTCCCTCCCTTCCCCTCCCTTGGACTCCAGCAGTGGGTGCTTTGAACAGCTCCTGCAATTGGCCTTCTGCTTCTTGCATGATTCTCCCCCCTTCTCCCCGCTTCTTCCCCCCATGCCCGTCTCCCTGGACAGGATTCCACGTCAGCTATTGTCACCCTAGCCTCCAGCGGCATCACCCGCCCTGCTCAGCTGGACGGCAAAACGTACGCCTCGTACGGCGCCCGTTTCGAGGGCCGCATCGTACAGCAGCTGATCCGCAATGACGGCGGCGCGGGTGACTTCAAGGAGATCACACCGCCCATGTTGGGGATTTGGGAGACGCTACTCAAGGTGCTCCGTTTCCCCCGCTGCTCTAACCCTTGCCCTGACCCTCCCGTTAATCTCGCTTCAACCTTACCCCTCACTTGCATCGCCGGTCCTCATTTTTCTCCCGCTGGCAGGGGGAGGCTGACGCCACGTGGGTGTTCATGGGCTGGGTGAGTGCCGGCTGCCCGTGCGATGGGAATGTGCGCGGGAGTTCATAGGGCGTCGACGGTTGGAGGTTGGCAGTTGGTGAGCAACGGAGTCTTTGGCGTAATGGAATGGAATTTATTCCCCAACGGGCTTTTTTCACAGCAATACATAAAATGTACAGACACAAACGTACATACATACACACATACTAGGTTAGGCACTGCTGGTAAGGCACGGACCATTGCCCCCGGGAGATCCCGGGATTGAGACCTGTCAGGGTCGAAAATCCTTCCGATGGTGGAGGGTAAAGTGCCCCTAGTCGATGGACGGTGGTGACCTGGGATAAAGTAGATCTGTGAGCTGACCAGGAATGGAGTTGAGCCGCCGTCGATCCGGCAGATTCCGTTGGATGCCGGTGGTGGGTGCGGAACCTGAGCGATCCACTGAGAAGTTGACTAGGGTGACTAGATGAGGGTGCCCCGAAATACCGGGGAAGGCAGGGTTTCGCTGGGTAGCTGCCACGGGTGAAGATATGCCCCCCTGTCCCACACATCATACATACATACGCGCGCACAATTGCACCGTGTGTGGATCTGCATGTGCTCATGTTTTACTGCAGGAGGCCATCGAAGCCAAGCAACGAGGCGTGGAGATCCATGCATTTGGATTGGAGCAGTACAAGGTGCCGTACGGTTACAGCCCACTGCTGGTGACACATCCGGACACCATCCGGTACGGCACTTGTACTACATCATCACTTTCGGGATGCCGAGACGGGTTTGAGAACCCCCTGTGTTTGGGTGTGTGTGTGGTCTCCTGCGTGCTTGGGAAGCTCCTTGACGTGTTGACGTGTTGACGGATTTTGTTGCGAGGCTGCGAAATGTTATGAGAAGGAGGAGGCACATGCGTGTCCCTGGAAAAGGAATTGGGCGCACCGGAACCTTTGGTGAAACCCGAAGGCACTGCTGGGGGCTGATAGCAACGGTTTTTAGGTTTTAGGGTTTTTTCGGGAGCTGTAAATTTCTGTGTGTCACTACGGCTGAAGGTGTTGTTTTTTGTGTTGCCCTTTCCGTCCCTTCCCTTGACTGGGACCGTGACTGGCACGGGGGCTGCTGCTCGGTCATCGCAGTGATCGCCCCGAGGTGGTTCGCGCCTTCCTGGCCGCCACAGCTCGCGCCTACGAGTGGGCTGCGGCCAACCCTGGCGAGGCGGCGGAGGTGATGCTGGCGGCTGTGGCGGAAGAGCACTCCACCTCGCCACTTCCCAAGCCCCTGGACCCCGAACTGGTCCGGGAGTCGCAGGTGGGCGGCAGGTGTTCCAAATGAAATGAGCCGCGAAGGGTTAGCAAGGGAGACGTTGCTGGGGATTGCTAGGGAACTTCCTAGCTGTGTGTGTATGTATGTATGTATGTGTGCTTTGCAGAGCTGAACCGCAAGTAGGATGTGGCAGGTGAATGTGTGCTGTGCTATGCTATGTATGCCATGTCTTGCTATGCTAAGCTAACCTAAGCTAAGCTAAGCTAAGCTATGTTTCCCGTTTATTTGCGTCGTTACATTACATTACATATTGTTGACTTCTGCGTCATCATCATCACCACATCATCACCACATCATCACCACATCATCACCACATCATCACCACATCACCACCACATCACCACCACATCACCACCACATCACCACCACATCACCACCACATCACCACCACATCACCACCACATCACCACATCACCAACACATCGTCACCAACACATCACCACCAACACATCATCACTAATACATAAACGATGATTCCACGTCTACCTATTTGCGCACCTCGTTCTCCTCACCCTACCCCCCTACAGGCCTACCTCTCCAGCCACCTCCTGGACGGTTCGGGCCGCTGGGGCCTCATGAGCCCCGCCGTCTGGAGCTCCTTCGTGGACTGGCTGTCGGAGTCCGGACTGCTCACCACCAAGGTGCAGAGCCGCAACCCCCAGGCGGAGACCGCCACTACCCTGGACGGGTTGCGGGCGGGAGACGTGGGGGAGCGCATTCCCAGGGATGTGGTGGACGTGGCGGCGATGTTCACTAATGACCTGCTGCCGCCGCCGACGGCGACGGCGACGGCGACGGCGACGAAGGCTGCAGAGGCGGAGGCGGAGGCGGAGGCGGCGGTATAATGGGCTGGAGTGGAACAGAAAGAGGCGATGATAGCGGAGGACGAGGAGGGGCGTGCGCGGTGATGTCGCCTGGTTATGGTTGTTTGTTGCGGCATGACGGTGTTACCGTGCTCTCTTCGCGCCGGTTGCCAAGTCGCCAAGTTTCCCGGTCTGTGCAACACGTGTGACGCTTTGAGCTTTCGTGAAGCCCTGAAAGTCGAGAAACAAGTAAAGCCGTATGTATTGTCGTATAAGCCTAATGTCGTATAAGCTAATAGAGCATGGTAAACCATGGTCGGACGCTTGCCGCTTGCTATGCCCTTGAGAGTAGTAGCAAATTTGAAAGGTAGAAGCTATCTTCAAGAGTACAGCAGCTCTTCCTTTTGTCTGAGCCCACAAGGGGTTATAATTATCTTTCTGTGGCCAATCGCGCTGTCGGCTGGCCGGCTTACGTTGCAAAGGATTTCTCTAAACCTATTCCGCGTGGTAGTGAGGAACCTACGATATGGGATTCATGTATATGGGCCTTCAGGTTTTTTTGTCTGTGTTTGTATGTGTGTTTATCTGTCTGTTTGTCTGCCACGCGCTGATTCCAAAGCCAATAGTTCGTGCATACATTCGTTTTTTTTCGGTTCGGTTTCCCGGGTTTAGCTTTCTTTCGCTCCTTCTACAGAACGAAGGTGCCGTACATTGCACCGGAGCGCTGTCCGCACAGAGAGCAATGTACGACGAATTTTTTGCATGTCCTTTTCCTGTGCTAAGCTGGATGGTGCGTAATCTTTTTGCGTCTCGACATATAGCAATAATATCAACTAGCGGGTCTGCTCGGAATCTCAGCAAGCAGGTCTGCTCGGAATGTTCTGTGTTCTGATGTCTTTGTGCTGCTGTTATTCGGATGGCTTGCAGGACAAAGATGCAGCTAAGGCGGTTAGCATATCTCATCACACTTTATCTCACTCCACATCGGCCCTTGTATTGGTTCTGGTGTTTTTGGTAATGGAAAATCATGAAAAATGAAGAAAAATCACATCATGAGGCGCCCTGACCATGCGCTCATTCATAGCTGCATGCGCCTACCGGGGTTCCCGGAGCCTCTCTGTGAGGCGGTTGCTGCGTGGAGCGTGAAAACGAGGGATGTACGTGTACGGCCTGCACTGTCGTACCCATAATTGTACGCCTCAAAGCGTCACGATATCCGGTTACATGAGGCCCTCATGTACCGGCAGGAACCGGATGTAATAATACACATACATACATATGTACGTACATGCATACATACATACAACTAACCTGAGACGCACGTCAGCAGAGTTCTCTTAGGGCCGGAAACACGTCATCACACTGTTTATCCGCTACTGCCACTGTTCTTTCCAAGTACGCTCACGTACACATGTATTCAATAACGTACCATCCGCCCATCCCCCGCGACTCCTCCTCGAGGCTCTGTTCATCTAATACCTCCACTTACAGAGAAGTGTGCAGTCAAACGTGCATGCTTGTCAGCGCCGTACAATACGCCACCGTCCCTCCCTTCCAAATGCAATCGCGTTCGCCCCACATCGAAGGGCACCGTGTGACCCCATCTTGGGTCCTTGGAAATCCGAACTCCGAAAGCCCATCCAAATTTGCTAGCCACCTCTTGCTAGCCATATATATATCGTCAGAGGGCTTCTGCCTGCTGTGACCCATGAAAACAGGCGCCCGCAAACACTGCCTTATCCCTGCATGGGTCCTGGCCTCCGGGCTTCGGGGTCCAGTGTCCTCAGCTGCGCCGCCTTCTCCGGGGAAATCTCTACATCGTAATGGATTGATTGGAGTGTTTAGAGTTGAGGGGCCGTCGGATCATTGCGCGCGGGAAGGAAAGTGATGAGCGAAAGGAAAGAATGGAAAAGAGGAGATTTTTAGGGATTGAGCAGGGATGCTCCCAGCGAGGGCGCGGGTAGACATGGGGCCCAGCAGAAAAGTTACAAGTTCCGCACGAGTGCGGGGGTGTCCGTAAAAGCCGGGGGGGGCCATGGACGGTAAATCGTTTTTAGTGTGGTTACATGCGCTCGTACCTACCGTACGATCCGCAGTCTTTCTTGACCGCCTGAATGACATTTTCGCGCAGGAAATCGTTGGCCTCCAAGGCTTCTGCTAGCTTCGAGTTGATCTGGCGCTGATCGGTAAGGTCACGGTTCACCTGCAGACGACCAAGAACGTGGCGATGTTGTGGTAGCACGCCGAGGTTCAAGACGTCCACAACGGTTTAGGACGTACGCAACTCAACGGGTTGCGCATGTACGCAATGTGTTCAAAACGCTACGCGAAGCGTCATTCCCGGTATGCAAGGTTGAAGCTTTGAAATGGCCAACAAGGACTGGGGGGTAAGCACATACACAAAGAGTCAGCACAGGTGACAGTGAAACGTACCAGAAAGGCGTTCTTCAGCTCCTTGCGTGCTGCCGATATCGCGGGTGGGTCGCCCGCAAAGGCTGCAGGTGCACAAAGCATAAGAAGCAAACTTGATCAAAGCATTTAGATCCGTGGCTAAAGCTTACTTTTATGCACTGTGCGTATGAGCTGACGGTAAATGCTGATGGACTGCTTCGTCGCCATTCTGTCCGGGAGAATGTCTTCTGTTACGCCGATTCACAGGCGCTCGTAACCAATAAACAATTCAACGCGAGAAGAGCTGACATTTGTGAACAACAACTTTGGTCACGAAAGGGATGTTGTGCATTGGTTGTCACCGTAATTTCATGCGCTGGCTCCAGCGGCTCCAGCTTATAGCGTAGGACTCAGGCTGCATCATCCTAACTTCTCTCTCCACATCTGCTGCGGAACTTATCGCATGCAACGCGATTGGATTTTATATGTACAACAAGTGGGGTGCGCAACCCAGGTACGTGCATGCGTAAGGTTATGAGCCCACTCCCCCGCTCTACATTCTTCTGCCTCATTGGAGCAAAGTCAGGACAATCCATTCACTCATACGCAGTAAGCACCTTTGCACCAGCCTCACAGCACGCCACAGCAAACCCGTTCTCCACAACCGAAGTTCAAGGGCTTCGTTTGGTTACAGGTGTTGCGATGACACTCTGCGACAATATTCTTCACTGCAGGATCCTTTTGCAGCAGCGAAGAGTCCTTGGTGAACCCTGTCTCGCGTAGACCAACGCCATATTTTACAATGTAGAACTCTACCTACCAGGGTTTTCCGACACGTGCACAAGTTCTCTCTACATCCGCTGCGCCGACAATCAAGGGGGCGACTAAATTTTCCTATGTCCGTCGCATTTTGCGATGTGCCATGTCATGCATAATCTCCACCAACCTCAGCAAACATGCGGCTCCCGCGCGCTCCTGCTTCGCCCTTTTCACGAACACCCCCACCACAACGAGCCGCCGCTATCATCATCTGGTCCCTTCAGACCCATCCCATCCCGCTGCATTACAATGCCCAGCAAGTGCACTAGCTGCCGCGCGTCACCTTCTCCCGACCCTTCCCTTCCACCATATGGCCCCATTCCCCGTCCCGACGCTGGTAGGCAATTACGAGCCAGATGCGGAACTAGCCGCCTCAGCTGCGCCACGCTCGCGTCAAGTACCGTCGGATCCATCAATGGCGGATACCATTGGATTACCTCCTCCGCCACCGCCGCCCCGCCCAGCACACGGCTGGCGTGCTCCACGCCCGCCAGCAAACGCTCCGCACCGTAGGCAGGGTCCAGGAATGGAGGGTGCAGAAGTAACAACATGCCGACGTTGGTCGAAGGCAGCGCAGCTTTGAGCAAAATCACCTTCGCGGCTGTCGCATGTGTATCCGACATGGCCGCCAGCAGCTGTGCCGGCAGCAAGGATGACAGCACCCGTGGCAGGTCCGGAAGCACAGCTGTCAAATCGGCAAAGCGGGCATCGAAAAGCTCCTGGCCCCAACCTGACGCCTCAAGCGCCGCGAGCCGCACGCTGTCAGCGCGGTTGAAGGGCGTCCAGGAAATTTGCTGATTTTGGGGTTGCTGCTGCTGCGACTGCTGCTGCGTCGTGTCGCCACTGCCAGATTTTGTGCCGGCATTGTTGCTGTTAGCTAAACTCAGATTAACCTCTACAGAACTTTGGAGTTGCCACTGCACCTTCCACGGTACGGAGGTGACGCTAGAATATGGTGCTACCACCGTCGCAGTGCTGGCAGTTACGATATTGCTGGAGGCCCCACTGCCACTGTTTCCAGTTGAAGACGAGGAGGCTACAGCAGGTAGCCGGCGACAGGGACTGCAGCTGCCGCCACAGGTCGCACTGTAGTGCCCCCCTGTGGGCGCCTTGCATGTTAACCAGAGCGCACCTCGGTGCAACAGCGAGGCATGCTGGGAGTAGAGCACGCCCGAGACTGCCGCTGCGGCCACCGCCCCGCTAAAGGACGCCATAAACCTCGGCGACACCTTTCCAGCAGCCTGCTACAAAGGCTGCTGGCGGGTCTCAACCCGTAGATGCGCGGCGCCAGTACAGTACACAGCACGCTGCCCGTGCAACCTTTGCGACCACAACACGATGTGTGGTGGATGAAGCCAGTTGCTCCAAGCACGAAGCTGTGGATGCTTACAATTGATAAACGGGCTATATCTAAATATGCTAATATGCCTCCTGGCAGCGCCAGCTTATAGGCTCTGGTATATAGGTGTATAGGCTGCCGATACTGCGATAGTCGCTGACGACAGATGACAAACCTTCCTAGCCTATGCAGCAGTAAAAAGCTAAGGCCGTGTATGCTCACTGGCTAGCTTCAGTCACCTACATGGGGTCACAGACGAGAGGGAAGGAAGGCGAGGCAAGCACTGTATATTGATATCTTGTGTGGTTGATTTATTGCAGCTAATAACATCCAAAGAAGATCCATAGATAACAACAAAATCTTAACTGGCTGTGCTACTGAGAGACGTTGCGTAACCCTGGATGTCAACCTCCTCAAACGTCAGTCATCATGATGCAGCTTACCTGCTCCGCATCCTGTTGCTTGCGCATGCGGTTCGAGTGCATCACGTAGTAGGTCCCGCGGCTAACCTCGTAGAATCCATAAGCGGAAAAAGCTACCAGCAAAGTTGTGACCGACTTGTACATAATATCATAGACACGAGCGCGTCCCGGAGGCAGAGGGGTCAGCCACGGGTGCTGAAAGCGACCTGCTTGCGGAGCTGCGTTAGGTGTTGGAGGAGCCATGATGGCAACAGAAGATTTTCTCGAAATATGATGCGTGCAAAGTTGCAGCGCCACTACGCCTGGAATTCTTACATGTACGCTAGCTCGATAGGAAAAGTACACAAACCATCAGAGCCAACCTGAATGAGAGCATGGACAAAATGTACGGGCTTTGTAAGGCCCGCAGGGCGCCTCTGACAAAACTAACGCAGCTCAGGATTGTCTCTCTCTTTCCTGCGAACCGCTGAGCGGGCGTATATTGAACGACGCGCCACCATGGGTCGCATGCACAGCAGCGGCAAGGGTGAGAAGCTGCCTCGCGCCGCAAAACATTTCTTTTACTGGCACAGCACTTAACCGTCTTTCATTGTAGGCAAGTCGTCCTCTGCCATTCCATACAAGAGGTCTCCGCCCTCGTAAGTATCTGTAGGGCATTCTAAGCTAGCCGCCAGCGTTTCCTTTTGCGGCGCCTCATGTGTCGCCTTCCTAATTTCGCGTCGCCCTTTTAACCTTTCCAGATGGTGCAAGACCACGTCTGCCGAGGTGCAGGACATGATTTGCAAGTTCGCCAGGAAAGGCATGACCCCTTCGCAAATCGGCATCATTCTGCGTGACCAGCACGGCGTGCCGCTGGTCTCGACTGTGACTGGCAGCAAGGTTCTGAGGATTCTTAAGGGTTCTGGCCTGGCCCCTGAGATTCCGGAGGACCTGTACTTCCTGATTAAGAAGGCTGGTGAGCTCCCCAGCTGCCGTAGTCAGCCCCGAACCAAGAGGGCGCATGCGCCCGGCAAGCGTTCGGTTCCGCCACGTGCGGTTGCTGACGCTTCGCCATTATGTACGCAGTGTCTATCCGCAAGCATCTGGAGCGCAACCGGAAGGACAAGGATGGCAAGTTCCGCCTCATTCTGGTGAGCGACACTATGCCTGGGTAGGGTTAGGTCCGGGTCATGGCTTTGGCAAAGCTGTTGGTTCCGTAACGTTGGATGCTTAGCGGGACCTTGGGTGCGGCGTCAGAGTTTGTAAGCTTACGTTCCCTACGTTTGGTCCGCGGGATGTTACCCTGGGGTCTAACTAACAGTAAGGTTAAAATGGGCTTGTTGCTGGGGTCGGTTGTAAACTTGCAAAAAGTTATCGACTTGGATATAAGCCCCTTTCGATTAAGGAGGAGGGCTGGTAACACTGGTCATCAGAACACATGGGAAAGGTGGTGCTGGGATTGTTAAGACTGTGGCACGGTGGTATAAACTATGTATGCACCCGTAGGTGGAGAGCCGTATCCACCGCCTGGCTCGCTACTACAAGCGTGTCCGCAAGCTGCCGCCTAACTGGAGGTACGAGTCGTCGACCGCCTCGACCCTCGTCTCCTAAACGGCGGCCACAAATTCTGCGAGGGGAGAGGTCACAGCGCTGCGGTGGAAGTTTATCTGGTGTCGACCGGTGTCGCTCTAGCGAGGCTTGGTATTGCAGCGCCGCTGCACGTGGTGTGGTGGGCGCACTGCAAGGGTTTGTAACACTGGATGGACATGGCTGTGTCGTACCATTTCCTATATTTTCATGCACACTTAATTTCTTTCCGATAAGGCGTATTTGAGGATTCGTACAAAATTACCGGGCAGCAATTACAAGAAATGCAATCTACCGTGTATGGCAGCTTCCACGGGGCATGCGAAGTCAAGGGAAAAGGATTTGATTAGTTTAAACGTCTGCGCATAAATAGAAACGGGGAATTACCTAAGCTACATCACCGATGAAAACTCTGCACGTATAACATCAAATCTTGTAATTGCCTAGGCCTTTTTGGCTATCCTCAAGTCATCAACCAATGAATTGAAATTAAATCAGCGACATAATAAGACATAGCACGCAAGCCAGCTGCCTGTACAAAAGCAGCCAAAATGTCTTACAAAGATCTGTCGCACCGCCCCCTTGGGAACTTATACCCACATCCTTAAGGGGCGCAGCTTAGGTTCGCCGACTTCCAACGCCTATCTAGAGCTTCCTGGTCGCTCCGACTGCTGCTGCAGTTGCTTCTGCCCTGCAGGCCGTTCCAGCAGAACCATGGGTCCACGCAGCACGTACCCCAGCAGCAGCAGCTGCGGTACAGCAGATGCCAGGAAAGAGGCGGCAAGGTTCCCCGTGAGCGCAAACGTCTGCAGTTCAGCAAAGGTGGAAGGTGGTCAACAAGCGGTCAGGAAGAAAAAAGATGCACACAGGGAAAAAAGCATATGAGCCCCTGCAATGCCACGGCGAATGTTCCAAGGAAAGGCGTATTCGCGGTAAACGTGAGCAGCAGCAGGGGACCGCCGCCACTTCAGCCTTTCTTCACAGCAGCAGCCGCAGCACGCCTCTGCACGTAGGATTTCCACGACGGTCTTCCTGAACCACATTGTTGGCAGATGCCTGGGCCAGACACGAAGGCAGACAGGCAGCAGTGAGGAACTTAGAAGACCGAGGACCGGCCGTGGAGGGAGTTCGGGACGCACCAGGTTGGGGGCTCCGAACCGCAGCAAACCGCGCAGCAGGGTGAGGGCGTAGGTGAGACGGGGAGGACCTGTAGAGGTGCACCTGCACAACTCGAGTGAAGGAGTGTGAGGATGCGCAAAGGAGGGGTGAACGCGTGAGCGTAGCGGGGACGATTCTGGGTTTCAAAATTTTGTTCCTTCGCTCTGTGTGGGAAAAAGCGGCTAAGCGAGGCGCTGGTACACTTTCACCGGTACTTCGGTTTGACTGCTGCGCAGACTGAGAAGCTTTGTTGTCACTTACTGCCCTGACGGGAAGCACCAGTTGTCTTCAAACTCTCTTGGCAGTCAGTGGCTCTTCCAGCTCTCTTTTGTCGTTTTCCCATTCTCTCCTTATACATACAAACAAGCAATGCCTTTCCAATGCCAAGGCCTTGTCTTCAGAGCAACCCCATGCCAGCTCCCCACCACCCTGCTGACCCCCATGCAGAAACCACAACTCCCCAACCACTCCATAACCAACCCCGCATGGCACCCCAGCTTCCTAACCTGCCCAATGCGTCATACAGGCGGTACTCTCGCAGCATCGCCTCCGTCTCCTTCGAATCCAGATCCTCATCGTACACCTCCGTCACCGCCTCCTCCACGTCTGCAACCTCTGCCACCTGCTTCCCCTGCTGCTGTCTCCGCTTCCGCCGCCGCTCCTCCGCCTCCGCCTCCGCCGGGAGCGGTTGTTCCACCATGATCAGCGCCAAGTTGCTCGCTACACCCACCCGCATGGCCTCCGCCTCATTCGCCACCAAGGGCATCACCGACGCCGTCAGCAGCACCGCCGTCACGTAGCGTGCAGCGTCCGTAACGTAAACCTCTATTCCCGCTGTCGCCGCTGCGGAGGCCACACCCGCCGTCGCAAATCCCACTGCATCATATTGCGGCGTCATGACCACCAGCGACGGGATCACAAACGTGTCATCCGCGCCGGCTTCGAAAGTCCGATCCGCCAGCCAGGCTGCTAGGAATGTAAACATCAGGCCCCGCTGCAGGAGCTCCTTGGAGGCCTCCCTTAGCAGTACTAGCCCGTACTCTAGGAAGGGGGACGTGCGCGTCAGACCAGGCCGGCGAACCACCTACAGGAAGGAAAATCGACACCTCAATCAATCTCGCTACGAATCAGCTCTGTTCCACCTATAGGTTAGGCAGGAGGAGGTGTTTAGGCGCGTCGCCGAAGCTCACAGCCCGGATGAAAGCCGTGTAGAGTAGCCGTCGTGTCCGAACCGTTGAACCTCTCCCCCCCTTGAACCCGCCTGTGCAGCCCACACCCGCCTGTGCAGCCACCAAGCACGCCTGCTGTAGCACCAGAGCAGCCGCCACCGAATCCGCTGACAGCAGCTCCCCCACCTGTGCCGTACGCAGCTGCAGCCCCACAGCACCCGCCTTCCGGACACCGCCCAGCTCCGTACTGCTCGTCCCGGATCCGGTTTCCCGCTTGTTCCCCCCTGCCAGCAGCCGGTCGTAGGGAGGTGCCAGCAGCAGCGCCTCCAGGGCGACCAGGGCGGAGGAGGACGTCAGCCCTAGGACCAAATCGTCCGTGGAGAGCCTGCGGTCGCGGTGTTGGGGTTGGTGGTGTTGGGGTTGGAGGGGATTCCTTAACAGCGGGAGCTTTGAAGAGGGGATATTATATGGAAAGCACAGAGTCGAGAGGACAGGGCGACCTGACATGTGAAGTATGAACGAAATGCGGCTAGACGTGGGTAAAGGAAGTGGAGTACAGGAAGTGGAGTACAGGAAGTGGAGTAAAAATCGTGGGGTAAATAAAGTGAAGGAAGAGAAAGAACCCTGATAAGTGAGCTGAAAGGGGGCCCCTGTTATAGAACGTGCTTGCGAATTAGGGGGAGTTGTGAAGGGTGGGCATTGATAATGATATGAGGCGCGCGACGATACTGCAGAGTCTCAAGATTGTACAAGCAAGGACGGGGTGTACGGTAGTGTATATCCGATGGATTTTTGATTAGGGGAAAGCTTTTACAAGGTTATGGAAACATGGGGACTGAGAATCAGAATGGGTATTGCGCGGGTGTGTTTTGTGATATGGGTCTGCATGCAGCTCGGTGTTATGGGAGTTAGGTTTGTGGGTCAACGTACTCAGAATGGTAGTGGTGCAGGGAAACACGGGTGCGAGAAACACAGGTCGAAATGGCGGTGTGAGGGCCCTGGGGAGGTGCTGGTGTGTGATGTGGGTTATTCTGCTGGCAGCATTTCCGGCATCTGCGTAAACCTCCTGCTTGTACAGGACGGGATTGCGCCATTTTGCGAGAGGGGTGTTGTTGCATGGTGTAATGTGGGTTGCGGTGTGGAGTTAAGGAGGGCAACGCCCCACTGCGGGTTTTATTGCTATTCCCTGCGCGAAATGATTGGAACCGAAACCCAGGCTTTTCCCTAGTAGGCCTTGGCGAGCAGACCCGTTCGCCAGAGGGGTAAATCTTGGGAATTGCTGCTCACCATTTAAACTGTCCAAAAAGGTCTATTCGTGCGAGCGCCGCCCCGAGAACCGCCAGTGTGCCCGACAGCCCATATGTCACAAGAGATGAGATTATACGAGCTTTAGCCCTTGTTTCCGAAGATTCCTCGTCGTTGCCGTTAGGTGCGCCGCTGCCTTGTTGACGTGGTGATTGGCTGCCGCAACACAAGCGCAAGCACCTTCGATCGCTCTGACGGCGTAATTGCCTATTATAGTTTTTGCGCTCAGCACACAATGGTTTACATTTGTTTGGCAGCCAGACGTGAGAACGGTGGGCTTGCATGTATTCGCGACCACTGCAACTGCAAGATTGCGACGATGATCTCAACAAGTGATCCATTTTTGTTTTCTAGCTGTATGTTGTTGCAACTTTACATTTTCTTGTAGAAGAAACCATGCAAGCTTCTGTCGTCTGGATCCTGAGCATGGGGGTGAGTCAGCACATGCTTCATATGCCGCAGCGGCCTCAAGCAGCAACATAGCCTTTAGACACAAGGCTAACAACATGAACTCTGTCGTACCCTATTTCGGAGCTCGGCCTCTCACGTTTTCACTTCCCGCACGTTGTAAGCGTCGGCAACGCTGCCACACGCTGTGCCAGGCTCCACGACAAGTGGAACTTACGTTACTTAATTTAAATTTGGAGAGGCACACAGGCATAGTCGATCGGCAGCAACTTAGCGCATACCTAGCTCAACCTTTCCGACTTAACCGTGCGGGTTCCAACTCCATTGTGTGTCGCGCCTCAAAACAAGCAGAAATGGTTGCCGAGCTGAAACCCTCTACGTTTGATGTCCCCGTTGTGGTGGGGCTCGGCGACCCTGTCATGGACATCCTTGCCAATGTGTCAGCGGAATGGCTCGCAACGTTGACCGCTGAACCCGGCGGCTGCCTTCCAGTCCCGCCGGACACAATGGAGCAGCTGCTTGCTGATGCCAGCACACAGAGTGAACTCGTTCGGTGAGTGGAAAGGCGAGGGCCGTCGTGTGGCACATGCGTGGCTTGACAGCTTGGCCGAACCTCACCACTGGCCCTGTATTCTTGCGACCCACATTCCAACAAGCCGCTTGTGCTAATAGTACAGCCATTGCCGCAATCACAGCATCGCAGTACAGCGTACGCTCCTAGCAACGAGCTGGCGACCTGGGGCGACCAGTGCTCCACGGCCATTCCAACGCCCTCTATTGAACTGCCCTGCCCCTCTCCCTTCCTTCTTCCCTTTTTTCTCACATCCTTCTTTCTTTCTTTCTTCCTTTACACCTCGCACACACACACCCTCACCTGCATACCCACATTGATGTCGCATGATACCTTGCGGTGTGCTGTTGCCTTGTCTTGCGCGCCGGCCGCAACCTGCCCGCACCCTACCCGCCTACCTATACCCACATGTTCTTCGGCCGTGTTCCCCTGACCTCCCTCTCCCCTGACCTCCCTGGAGCAGGATCCCCGGTGGCAGCGCGGCCAATGTGGTCAAAGGCATTGCCAACATCTCGGGGGCCAGTGGCGCTGTGCAGTGTCGCTTCGTGGGCATGGTGGGCAGGGATGAGACGGGGGCTGAGTACCGCCGCAAGCTGACAGCCCAGGGGGTGGAGCCCCTGCTGCTGGTGAGGGACGGGGGGAAGGGAGGGAGGGAGGGAGGGAGGGAGGGAGGGGAGAGTTAGAGCGAGTACGTACTTCCCCACGTTACGGAAGCGGGGGAGGGGGGGGGGAGGAAAGAGGGATTCACGGAAGGGGGGGGACTTCTGGCGCATACACGTATGTATGCACGTATGTATGTACGTGTACGCGGCTGTCGGCGCGGCAAAAGACGGGCTGGGTGAAGCATCGCGGAAACAGATGCACTAGTACAGGTGTGGTTAGGCAGGTAGGAGAGGGAAAACGCAACCGGGTCCACAACCGGCTCGTATTCCCCTTCACCACCTGACCACCTGACCATCCCTGCATCCGTACCCCTCTCCTCGCCCTCATCCAATCCCAAACCCCTCCTCCGAATCCCACTCTTCATACTCTCCGGCTTTTCTTTTCATTTACGAATTCACTCCACCTCACCCCGGCGGCTCCGGACGTCTGCCCGATTCGTATGCCTCCCTCCTCCGTTCTGCGTGTATTTAACCCCCTCACCCCTTTACACCGCATCCCACCCCACCCCACCCTTCGCCAGGAGATCCCCCACAGCGGTAGCAGTAGCAGTAGCAGCCCCCCCAGTGCCACTGCGCTGTGCCTGGTGACCCCTGACGGTCAGCGCACCATGCGCACCTGCCTGGGGGCCTCCCTGGAGCTCAGGTCCGCCGCCCAGCTGCCGGCCGACTGGGGGGCGGGGTGCAGGCTGCTGCATGCGGAGGGCTACTGCCTGTACCGACCACAGGTGATGGATGGATGGATGGACGGGGAGTTGTATGTATGTATGTATGTATGTATGTATGTATGTATGTATGTATGTATGTATGTATGTATGTATGTATGTATGGGTGGATGGGTAGTTGGGGGAAGGGGGAAAAGAGTACTCCTGAGGAGAGGTGCGGTGGACGAGGTTTATAGACGGTTACAGGTACGGGGGGAAGCAGAAGAAACCGCCCCATCGATTCAGACGGTGGCAGTGGCAGCGGGCAGATGGTCCAGGGGGCCCCGATGGGGCTAGGTGGTTCCGGGCCGCACATGGTGGCAGGGAAACTGGGTGGAAATGTGGGTGGCGGAGGCGGCCCGGGGGCAGTTGCGGTACAGGGAAGGGGTTACTGTTGTACGACATATTATCCGCAGCTCAAACCTGCGCGAATGACCGGAGCTGGATAACAACAACAACGGCGATAACCTTTGACAATCAACATTGGCACAGGTCTTCGTCCCCCGTCCGCCTCCCTCTCCCCCCGTCTCCTTCTTAACGGCTTGGCATTACTGCTTTTCTTCTGCGCTTATTTTAGTTTTGGCGGCTAGGTAGGTAGTTTTCCGACATCTTCTTCACTACGTCGTCCCGAGGTCGCCGCATCTTCAAGAACGCCTTTTGGTCAGTTTTACGTCTGGTACACTCTTGCCCTGGCAGCAGCTTCACTCGTTCGTGGTTCGTCTTTCCCCCCGTCCCCTCCTCCGCCTCCCCCCTGTTTTCTCTCCCCCCATCGGGGACCCCGCAGCGCTCCCTCCTAAACCCGCGCACCGCCACGTTCCGTCCCCGCGCAACCCCCAGCTAGCTCGCGAAATGATGTCAGCGGCTCGGCAGCAGGGAGCACTGGTGTCCATCGACCTGGCCTCGTTTGAACTGGTGCGGAATTGCAAGGATGCACTACTCGCGCTGCTAGAGGTGGGCATTTGGTGTGGGAGGCTGGGAACCCTTAAGCTGGACAGGGGTGGGAATTGCCATGCAATTTTGCAGTCGTGTGGACATGCATGGAATGTGAATACGGCGTTGAAAAAGGCCTTTCCAGATGGTATGCATCGGGGTGTTTGTGTTCGATTGTAATATGAGGCCCCCTTGACTTGCTACAAGTTACTACTGTCATGTACTACACATCGTACAGTACGGTACGGTACGGTAGGGGACGCGGAAATGGCTGTGTGAGGATGCGCGTGGCCTCCGCTGCATGCCTGTCCTCCGTCCATCCCAACTCCCGCCCGCCCGCTGCATGCCTGTCCTCCCCCCAATCTTCTCCGTCGTTTGCTCCTTTTCCTGTGCTACGTTTCTGTGCCATCCTTTCTGTGGTATTTGTATTTGTGATCTTTTCTTTCTAAGGTATTTGATATGTGCTATGACGCCCCCCCCATCACCTGGTTCGTGATTCGTCTTTCCCCCCATCACCTCCCGTCTTCCTGTGTGCCATCATCAGGACGGTCTGGTGGATCTCATATTTGCCAACGAAGAGGAGGCCATCACGTTATGCCAGGTTCTGGCTCTAGGCCCCCCTGGATCTGAAACCGACCCGGAGGCGTGTGTGGCGGCGGCGCAGCGCTTCCTGCTGTCCCCCTCGGGCGGCCGAGCGCGTGTGGCCGTGACCAGTCTCGGGGCGCGGGGCTGTGTGGCGCGCGGGGCGGACGGCGAGGAGGGCGCGTCGCCTGCGTGCCGGGTTAGCGTCGTGGATACCATTGGCGCGGGTGAGTTAAAGTTCACCCGGGGAAAGGGGGAAAAGGGGGAAACCACGAACGAGTGAAGCTGCGCCAAGGGGTGGAAAAGGGGGGAGGAGGGGGGAATCAGTTGAAAAAAATCGAAACGGAACAGCTGCCGGCGTCTGGGGGCGTCTGGGGGCGGCGAGGGCGTGAGGAGGGAGGAGGGAGGAGGAGGGAAGGAAGAACGGCAGAAGTTACCGACTCTCTCTCCTCTCTTCCCTCTCTCTCCTCTCTGTCCTCTCTCTCCTCTATCCCCTCCCTCCTCCCCTCCCGCCCGGCATGCGCACACAGGCGACTTCTTCACGGCGGGTTTCTTGTCGGCTTACTTGCGAGGGGCCTCCCTGCAGCACTGCTGTGCCGCGGGGTGTGCCGCGGGAGCGGAGGCAGTGCAGGCAGTTGGGGCGGAGCTGCCAACCGCAGCATTCGAACGGTTGAGGAGCTCGCTGGAGGCAATACTGGCAACCAAGCCGGCGGCGGCCACCGCCGCAGCGGCGGCAGCGGCGGCGGCAGCCAGCGCTAGCGCGCTTGCGGCGGCACTCGCAGCCGGGACACAAGCGGCGGCGGCGGCGACGACGACTACAGCGACGGCGGCGCCGAAGGCGGTGGCCGTCGGCGCACTGGTGTAGTTGGACCAGATCCGTTTCGCCCCGTCCAGTTCCGTCCCTCAGTTGCCGAATTGGTGCTCTATGTACGTATGTATGTCCTGCGGTGGCTATAGGTTTTCAAGTCCCTGGCCCTAGACCCTTCTTCGCTGGGACGGGGGGCCGGGCCGGACGGCGGTGTCTCTCTCGGACGATGGTGTAGTTTCTAGGATTGCAGGTATTTGAATGGTGGCTTTCTGGATTTTGCATATGGGTGTGGCTTGGCAGTGGAATGCAGGTCATGCAGGTCCTGCAGACGGGTGCAAAACTACATAGAAAGATAGACTAAGGGTTATCGCGTTCTGCGTGTGTTCAAATGATGCATATGCTTTTTGAGTGTTTGTCTGCATCGGTGCATCTGTGTGGGTGCTTGTCTGTGTCTGCGTGCGCGTGTGTATATGCAAAAGCGGGGATCCGGGTGACTGGTGAATGGCGCGGCGCGATGAAGTGGTGACGGTCGGCGAGGTCGGCGTAATGGCCACAATAAAAACAGACCTTTACAGGAAAACTTCAACAACATGTCTAACTTCTTGGTTAAAGCTCTAAATTTTGCCACTTCCTGAGGAGGGTACAACAAATGATAAACATTTTCCAACGACCTTCCCTAAACGAACTTGCCTACTGTACTAATGGTACTAATGGTGCAATGTCGTAACTAGCGACCTGCCACCGACCAACAGACAGACAGACGGACGAACCGACAGACAGGCATGGCGCCTGACATGTCCACGTGCCCTCTTCCATCCCATCCACACACCTCGTCTTCAAGGTCTTCCACCCCTGGCCGCAACGTGCCGCAAGGCGTATACCAGACAACACCCACTGATATGCACTAATGCCATTTTCCAAGCGATACGCTTGCTAACTATTGTCTGATGCTCCTCTCTGCCGCCTGATTGGAAGCCTGAAAATCGACAGATATAGATTCGGATAGCCGGCCAGATCCAACATCCAGCCAGCCAGCCAGGTTAGGTGGGTAAATACACCTCTCAATCCACCTGACGATGAACTAAAGAACACCAGCGACGGACGTCCACGGCCCCTTAAACGTGGCCGGTCCACATCCTCGGCGTGTGCGTGCATTCGTACCTAGCCCTTACCCAAGGCTCAACCAAAAGCACACACACACATAACCAACCGGCGCTACTACTTTAGCTGTATCCCGACGCAGGCTACGTGCCTATCTAGCCGCGCACTTCTCTTATTACCGACATGTACAACCACCACATGGCCTGGCGGTGACGCAACGCTATCTCATGCGGAGGCAACTTGGGGCCAACTTGCCCCCACTGGTTGCGCTGCGTGTGCCTGATATTGTCCTGCGATGGCTCCCTCGGGGAACCCTGTTTTTAGGAGACCGCCGCTTAGAACTCACTAGTGGCAGTTTCGCGCGAGCTTTGGACACCGGCAGCACATGCTTGGTGCAACTACGTTTTCCCCCCTTCTCTTTCTTTTCCTCCATTTGAATGAGTGTGTCCGATGTCCTGTCATTAGAGACGCCGAGCGTTGTTTAATCCGGTCGCCGCGGTCGGTGCTTGACTTATGACACAAGCGCGGTCGATGCTTGACTTAACACAACATCGTTCGCTCCCCCCATCGCGCCGGGTGGTGCTGCCTTTCCGTTCCTTCCCTGCTTGCAACTCGCCAATCAGTCTCGTAATACCAGGTCTCAAACTTCTGTACCGTCGTACAGTACGGCGCTCTTCGTTACGATGGGCACGCCTTCCCGTACACATATACCCACTCCCACTCGATCCATGGCTTCCCAAACACCTGCATGTGTGTATGTGTGTATGTATGTGTGTGTGTGCACACACGTACGTGCATCAGGAAGAGGGTGCTGTATTCTGTAAGGCATATCACGGGATCTGCATCCGCCGATCGGTACTTTTCTACGAAAGTTGCCGTCGTGACACATGACAGAGGGAGCCCGATAAATTCGACAATAGAGGGGGAGGGTGTTGTTGTGTGCGTGCGTGTGTGTGTGTGTGTGTTGCGGCGGTTTTCCAGGGGCTCCTGGCTCGCAGTAACGTAGGCAATCTATATGTTCCCTCTACAGCAGGTGAATATTAATACTGCTTCCTCATTGGAAAATATTCGCGAGTTCGTATTCGGGTGCATGTGGAGGGTTGCATGTTGCACAAACATGTGCATGCTCTGCGATGAAACGTAAGCACATGAACAGTCTGCATAGTCTGCACGATCAGCTTATCGCCGGAACACGTACAAAGTGAGCTTCACTGCGCGTACATAAACATGCAGGTGTACATATGTGTGTGTGCGTACACTTACATACATACACTTACACACAGAGCCTGCTTTTCACAGCCCCAAATCATACAGAAGACCCACGTACATACATACATACATACATACATGCGAACGTATGCATAGACAGGGAAAGAGAGTGCATGTGTGCAAAGTGTAACGTAAACGCAAAAACGCAACGCACCGGCTCTGTTGGCGATGACACAGCTTCTGCCGATACGGGCATTCTTGTCGATGATGGCCTTCTGCACCAGGCTGCCCGCACCGATGCCCATGGGTGGCACCGGCAGCTCACTCGAGCCTGCTCGGGCGGGGCGGGGCGGGGCGGGGCGGGGCGGGGCGGGGCGGGGCGGGGCGGGGCGGGGCGG